ACAATTTCATACTAAATTTAAAAACTATAATTAGTATTTATTCATATATTATATTTTAAAATCAAAGAACTACTAATCAGGATATAATTAAAGCAATAAGAGTTGATGTTGCTTTTGGAATAATCCACCAATTTCCTACTTTAAAAAAAAAAAAAATTTGGTTGGGAATTTTTTCTATTATTCGCCAAAATTACTCCTTCGTTGATTAGAATAAATCATTAAATAGAAAATTTTATGAGAATTGAAACAATGTTATTTTTAATATTAATATGCAGTCAGGAAATTTTATAATTATTATTTACAGTATATTTATCAGAAAAACTCTTTATTTTTTGCATTTTTATCGTAATAGATAACTTAAATAGAAATCATAGTAATCATTTCTAAGTAATTTTTGGTATTTAAAAAGATTCTACAATTGAAATATCCAGAACTGAATTAATTTTAATGATTTACTTTAACTAAAAAAAAAAAAGTTATTATTTTGAATCCCTCTTGTGGGCAGGTAAAAGGTTAGATTTATAAAAAAAAAAACCAAATGATAGATAAAGACATGCATCTATATTAGGGTGTCCCTTATTTTAAAAATTTTGGAAATTCTTCGGGCTCCCCCCCAAATTTGTGTGTATACATATAAAAAGTGGCTACAAAAAATTTCAGGCCGATCACATAAGTTTAACCCGTGCCGACTTGGGGTTGAAAATCGGCCAAAAGGGGTAATTTTTTAGTTTTTAGCAATTAACTCGTAAATTAGCGCTCTCACAAAAAAAAAAAAATTAAAACTCAATTGTAGATCTAATTGTTTTGTATAAATTAAGCTCTTACAGTTTTTCTTTTAAATCCATTAGTTTTCTAGAAAAATGTCAAAATACATAATATTTCGTAAAATTGACGAAATTAGCACATTTACGAATATTTCATCATATATGACGAACCATATGTGATACGACCTAATGTTTCATTCAAAAATTGTTTAAAATTAAATTTTACGAAATAAAAGTAATAAGTACAAATTTCATTGAATCGATCGTTTTATTGCTATAGCTGAAATAACTCGATCATATTACGATTTTTACTAAATATATGAATTTTAATGCTAGATTCTGTTAGTTATCATCTGGTTCATTACTACACTTATCGCACAAGTACGGCGATAATACTATGGTATGACTGGATTAATGTATTGTTATTATTTTTAAATTATAAATAACTCTGGAAATAGGAGTAATAGTGTTAATTTCCTAGTAACTTTTGTTGTTTGAAAAGATTCTACAATTGAAATATTGAGACCTTAATTAATTTTAATGATTTACTTTAACTTTAAATCAAAACAAAGTTGATAAAAAGATCTACTCAATAGCGTACTATAAAAATTGATAATAATTGTAAAAATCCATTATTGATTCAGGAGAAACTAGCAATCATTTATTTTAGAAATGATTTATATAGCAACATGTTACCAAAAAATTTTGAATATTATAGTCTAGTAGTAGCACACACAAATAGAGTAAAAAAATTACTAAATTACAAAGTAACATGATTAAATTTTGTAGTTGAAACCTATCATATCAAACTTCATTCGTCAATAAATACTTTGAAAACATTACAAATTAATGATTTTAATTGTCGTTATGGAGAACATGGAATAACTAACTGTTTAATTGATAAATTAGAATTTTTCTTTCAATTTTTGAGGGTAATATCTTCAACTAGATACGAATTGTAGTCATTTGACGTATCGTTGAAAAAAGTAGGTCAAGTTAGAGCAGAGAAAATAAATGATAGTCACAAAAAAATATCTTCTCAGCTTTGCATCGAAACTAAAACTTAAAATATAGTAAAATAATTTTAATAGGAATAAGAAATTTCTTCTTACAAGGGGCGACTAAAGTGATGAGATCCTTGATCTTTATTGAATCTAAATGAGATAAAAATCAAACGAGTTAAAAATTTATATCAACTTAAAAAGAATTAAGAAAAAATGCAGAAAATTCAATGCCATACGCGGGTTGGAACCTCGTACCCCAAGTGTGTAAAACATAAGTTTTACCAACTCAGCAACCGTACGTCGTTACCGTCGATTGAAAAAATTGGCTAGTTCAAATTTCAAAGTTATTTTTCTCGATTTAAAAGAAGCAAACAAATTTAAATAAGTTTAACTTTCTATACTATATTAATTTTTTATTTATATAATATTTATGAAAATCTGTACTCCCCTTGTCAGGTATTTTAAAATAAAATAAAATATAAAACCCAGAATTTTAACACAAAAATAGCATATTTTTGAATATGGTAGTCATTTTTACCATGAAGATAAATCCAGAGGTACAATTTTTTTTCAAATTAAAGTATTTATTATTAAAAAATAGAATTGATTCATGCATTTTTTAAAAAGTTATAGCATCATAATGTTAAAAAATGTAAAATATAAGATCAAGAATTTTTTAAAAAAAATAGCATATTTTTGGATACGGTAGTCATTTTCACCATGAAGACAAGTCCAGAGGTCAAATTTTTTTTTTCAAATTAAAGTATATTACATTAGCTTTAATTAAAGATATATATATAAAAGCGTCAGTCTTTCCGGAACATTTTCAAAAGTTAATTTGAAAAAGTTAATTTTTTGTAAAAAAGTTACCATTTTGAAACCTTTCCTGTGGGCTTGTCAAGGGTCAAATGTTAACAAAATATATAAAATGATAGGTGAATACCTAAGGTATCTATAAAAAAAAAAATTATATTGATTCGGTAATTTTTAAAAAAGTTATGGTAATTTTAAGTTAAAAAAATTGAAAAAATATCGAAAATTAACGATTTTTTAATTTGTAATTTTTTGGAGGATTTCCCCCGTTTACGGGGAACGGGGGAAATTTTTTCAATTTTTGAGGGTAATGTCTTCAACTAGATACGATTTGTGATCTTTTGACATATTTTTCATCAAAATCGGTTCAGTGAGAGCTGAAATTGAGCGTATAGACACAAAAAAAAAAAAAAAAAACACATCTTAGTAAAATTAATACCTTCACATCGAATCTAAAAAATTGAATAATAAATTATTTTTAAAAATGTTTAGATACAGAGAGGTATGCTTTTGAAATAACGTCTGTATTAGTACAATATTATTACATTGTGTTATGTGAATAATTTAGCTTAGGTAAAAAAAAATATTTGAAATTCAAATTTTTAAATTCACTTAAAAATATATCATAAGTTTAAAAAAACATTTTTCCTAGTATTTTTTAAGGTAATTTTGATCATCATGTCCTCTTTAAAAATTATTCAAATTTTATAGACAAGTGAGACACTCATAATGATGTAGGAGTAACAAATTATACTACAGTACTTTACCACTTTCAACCTTGTTTTTAAAAATAATTAAAAACGGTAGAATTTTCATAAGTACTTAAAAACATTATAGGTATTTAAGTAGAAAACTTAAAACAATCCAAAAAAAAATACTGTTTCAGTAAATTATTGAATATAGATTTATATACAATGGTATAATTAACAATACAAAAACAATAATTATTCATTATACAANACAACCCAAAAAAAAATACTGTTTCAGTAAATTATTGAATATAGATTTATATACAATGGTATAATTAACAATACAAAAACAATAATTATTCATTATACAAGTATAGTTTGATATTATTAGAAATATATGAAAAATGTAAAAGTAAATACGAATATTCCCTAGGAAATAATTCAAGTATCAAAGGTGTCATACGATTTTTCCTTAATTTTAAATTAACGTACTACTAGATGGTGGTGTTAGTATAAAGTAACATTTGCTTATCAAGTTAAATTTTATCTTATAATTTTTTACAATGTCCCAGAAAAATTTTAAAAATACAAAAAAAATAATTTTTTTTTAAGTGAAATTTTCAGAATTTTCTTTCAATTTATTTTCATCTCATTTTATTTAAATATATTTAATATATACATTTTTCAAATTACTTTTTGTTTTTCAATCATGTCTCAACTAAAAATACCTTTGCATTTTATGAGTACGATGTCCAGTGACGTGATAGGCTACTATTCAGGAACCATGTGTTTATTATATCTTATTGATGATAAGAATTTGTAGTTTAATATTTGTTTTTCCATCATATTGCAAGTGTTCATTTGTCAAAAAGTTTAAAATCGGGTACTCTCAAAAAATTTGCGAGGATCACTTAGTGATATATTGATTATCTTATTGATAAAGTATCCTAAGGTTTGTATTCTAATGAAAATTTTAGCTAAAAAGCATTTTAATCAATTTTTTTCTGTTTTTGGTGCAATACCATAGTTAAATACTTTACTTTATTTGAATGATTTTAACTTAAGATACAAATAGCTCTCTGAATTTTAGTAAAATGGCTAGAGGACAGCAAAAAGTTCAATCACAAGCTAAAGCCGCAGAAAAGCAGGCTAAATTAAAAAAACAGCAAGGACATAGTGCAACTGAACAAAAAAAGGCCGCTCAAAAAGCGTTAATTCATGTTTGTACAGTATGTAAAGTAAGTTGCATTACTGTGATATGATATATAACTACTATATATTCTTTTTTTTTTTTCATAAATTATTAATGAATCAAGACAATTTCTAGTTTTTTAATAGTAATCTACTAGTCTTCAACTTTATTAATAACTCTGAGTAGGGCTTATTATTATTATCATTATATATTATAATAACTCAACATGGATTTATCTATAGGCTCAAATGCCAGATCCTAAAACATACAAGCAACATTTTGAAAACAAACATCCCAAAAATGATATGCCAGAAGAATTAAAAGCTATATAATAAATAATCATCTCATGGCCTTATGTTAATGTACATTTTTTAAGTAAACTATTTTCAATAAATTTAATATTTTACATTTTTATGAAGAATTATGTATACTTTTACACTGTTTAATTATAATGAATCTTTCACATTACTATTTTGTTTTGTAACTTTTAATGTTGTACTTGATGTACTATAGTGATTGTTTTACCGTGCAATTTTTTATTTTCTAGGTAGAATAATCAAAAATGGAATTTAAACTATTTTTTTTTTTTATGTTTAACAATATACCATTAAGTATTAAGTTAACTATTAATAATTTATTGAATAATTTATGTTTAATTCCTTAAAATGTAATAAAATAATGATTTTATTAAAGAATAATGAAAAACCTATACAACTAAACATAAAAGAATCTTGGTACTTACACATTTTAAAATAATAGCAAAGCTATTATTGCACCCATACTAAACAATTGTATTTGAAAATATTTAATTATCTTTAAAAAAGAGTAACTAACTATTAATTTATATATGTAATTTATTTTTGAATAATTAAAGAATACATATTTCAATTAAAAAATGTAAAAAAAAAATAATCAAAATAAAAAATGTAATATTATTTAAAATTTTTAATCTCAAAATGGATGTGTTTATTGTAGGGCGGCTTTTATTTTTGAATTTTGGCATCCTAATGAAATTATTCTTATAATTAATAAAAATAAGTTTTACAAAATTTAGTTAAAATTGACCAATTCTAAGCTATTTCTCAAAAGGTTTGAAAACTGAAATAAAGGGGTATTTTTCTAGTCTATTTTTACTCATAAATACAACCTCAACCAAAAAACTCATTAGAATGCAATTTATAAATTAAGTAAACATATATAAAAAATGTTTTGAAAAGTTATATTGTAAATATTTTTTACTATAGTAAAAAATAAAAAAAGGAATATTTATATTTCTGACATAAAATTCCCATATTATTAAAATAGGCTAATATTTATCGATTCGTTCATTGTTCTAATAAATGTTTCTTACATTAATTATTAAAATGTGTATTATTAAAATAATTTGAAATTCATTTTTTTAAATTTTATATGCACAAATTTTATCTTATACTTCTAATTTTTGTGTGATTATTAGTTTCAACTTATTTCCAACTATTTGGTATCCTCGTTTTCCATTTAACTCTTTATTTCCTTTCCTATTCATTTACATAGTTTTCTACATATTTCTTTTATGTCAAAGTTATTAATAATCGTGTCACTTTGACAAATGATAATAAAAATTAAATCAAGAAAATAACGTGGTATACTATTGGAGTATTACTCATTAGATAAAAATTTATTTTTTCAGTTATAAATTTAGATTTTTTTACATATTCCAAAAATATATATTCAGAAATCAAAATACTTCGTAAATGATTTTTCTTAATGATTATATTTCTTATATAGAAATAGTTTTTCGTTTTTGACATTCCACAGGGTTTGAAATTTCATAAAAAAAAAATGTGTTTTTATAACAAAAGGGTTTAGTTTATATTCTAAATACTCTACTTTTGTTCTTTCTATGAGTTTTGGTACTTAAAGTTCCAGCTTAAATAAAAATTTAAAAAAAATAATTACTGAAGTACTAAATAAAAAAAATCCCATTTTACATTTAAAAAAACTTTTAGACTAATTTAAACTAATTGAATAAAATACAATTTAAGTTTTAATTTAGGTTTACTAACCTATTTATAATTAGATAATTCGTTGAACAACAATTGTACTTTTCTATAAGAAACTAGAGGTTTAAAATGCTGATAAAACTGCCGAACTGATTTATAACCAGTATAGTTACCAGTAAATTTCAGTTTAACTAATAATTAATATTACCGCGAAAAAAAATTTGCTCCGAATGCAAGAATAGCTTATTGGACTTATATGGACTTTAATAGCTTCATAAGTTTTATTTAAATTATGTTTCGATTGTTATTTTCGCTACTTCTACCGTTATAACGTTTAAGTTTATTGTTCGTGATTGATAAGTATTTAGAAGTTGTAAATTGATATAAGGTAAATGAATTAATATTTTATATTACTATACAAAATGTATAAATTTATTTTTTATTTTACTTAATATAAATAACAGTATTACACAATACCTACAACATTGTCGTATTTGTTTTCAAAAGTATGTTAGACAATAGTATAATTACATTTCATATTTTTATACAATGCTTACATTTTCTAGTTATAATAAATGCAAACACATTTCCTGATGTATTTTTAAATAAATATTTTGTATTTCAAATTTAAAACAGTAATGAGGTAATAAAAATAAATTTAAAAATGGTACTGAATGTAAAATTTAGATTTTATGTACATGTATTCAGTTTTTCAACGTCGTGATAACGATATGTAACGACATGAAAAAGTGTTCACATGTTTTAATAATAACAATTCAATTAATTATAATTTATTTTTAAAAATTTCTAATCAATATGTTTGGCATTTGTCAAATCGAGTCACTCGGATCCGTCGTCTATACGACTACTCCTGATTCCAGTCTTTCCTGTCCATGGATATACATCAGGGCATGGCTGACATGTGCGCATGTATCTTACACCAGATTTGTGCCATAGATTGCATACTTTTGGGTTATTACATTTTTTAGGTCTATCCTGTTAATTCAAGTAATATAACAATTAGTTATGAATCATTGATCCTACACTATTCTGGTTAATCATGTTGATTTATTATTTATTACATTTTCTTCATATTGAACTTACCGAATAATCGCAGTGGAAAGGACTGAACGATTGCAATCTAGATATGGACGTTGGATCCCTCACCCATTGGAGTGCTTGCCAATTAGTGACAATCCATACTTCGGGCATGTTCACGATGGTGTCTAAGAATTGAATAAACCCTTCTTTGTGATGGGGTTGCGTAAACCAAGCAGCGTGATAAAACAAACCGAATGGCGCTCTAAAAAAAATGTTATTAATATTATTTAAACAAATTTTATTAATACTGGAATCAGGATCGTATTTAAAAATGTCTATTTATTATAAAATTATAAAAATATAAAAACAGTTTTATGTAACAAAATATGATTATTGTTTAAACAAAGTGGAGTAGAAACTTTTAAGTTATATCCATATAATTAGACTAAGGGTAGAAAAAAGTACGAGAGGCGAAATCTCATATTCCTCTCCTTAAAATTTTTATACAAAGTAGGTATAATTTTTCTAAAAAATTATTATAAAGCCAATCCCGCTTCCCCCTATTTCTAGTAAAATGTTCTTCAGATTATATTAAAGTTATGTAGACTTAAGAATAATATTTAATTTATTTTTAGTATGATTAAAACCTTTATTTTTTACTTAAAACGATGGTAGGAACTTCCCGAGGTACTTAAATATAGATATTTTTTTTTATTTACTTCCTGTACGACATTAAAGCACTTTAATTTTTTAACTGTAAATAGTTCATAATATATTAAGTTAAAGGACTTAGTTGGTAGTAATTATAAAATTCTTGTTTATTTTAAAATTGAAAAAAAAGTGAAACGTGCCCACTAATGTTTACTAGAACTGTTCATTTTTCATGCATACCAAAAGTAACATTACTTTTATCTCTTATTAGCGAAGTATATCTTTATATGATCTTTTTTTAGTGTTTTTGAAAATAAAATTATTATTACTATTAGAGATCACTTACCTGTTGCTTGTGAAATGTCGGTCAAAGTTTTTCATTAACATCTTATGCACGCCTTCGGCATCCGGAGGGTTACTACAAGCATCTCCCATGGAACATCTGCCTCCATTCAAGTCTTGCCACATAACCATTGGTACTTCCCATACTCCTATGAAAATTTTTTAATGGAGTAATTGGCTTGGACTATTTTTTACGTCATCATATAAACATATTAGTTAATAAAAACTATACCTGGATAAGATCTAGTTGGGCAAGGTGGTATCATGCAGTCGTGAAATAATTTATAATCTAAGGTGTATGGCCAGCTTGGAGGTTTGTTTTCGTAAATGGGCATCGATGAATCGTATGTGAAGTTGCTGTCATACAACATTTTGAACATTTTATTACCTCCCACCTGGAAGTATTGTTTTCACGGTAAAATTGAATGAGCTAATAACTTTATTAAACGACATGATACTTACAGCTAAGAAAGGAGCTCTCATTCCCCTAATATCTTCTTGATGGACTCCACCATAAGCAGACAAGATTTCTCTTTGGCCGACAATTTCCTTTGTCCATTTCTTTTGCGAGAACTGTTCACCGAAACTATGCGACACTGAATGAGATGCCATTTCATGTCCGGCAGCATACAAATTTTGCACTTGACTGTAATCAGTCCACTCATGGGACACATAGAACGTGGCACTGATTGGACATCCGTTAGGATTTACTCTACCTTTTTCAAAAAGATCTGTGTACAACCCTTTGTTTAGATCGTTTACTGAATCGTCGAAAGTCAATAAAACCATTTGCGGGGTTTCTTCAGGCGTTAAATCACCTAAACCACAAACCGATTTAATAATTACTCAGCTATTACGGCTCTGGTAAAAACCATAATAATTAAAACTATTGTTATAAACCGAAAATTACCTGGAATTTCTTTACCACCACAACTACAGTCGGGCAATTGGCAAACATCTTTGCGGCATTTTGCTGCTGTTTTGTCTGGTTGTGGAGTCGGGTAGATAGGGTCAGGTCTACAGTATTAAGAAATTTAACTCGTTAAAAAATGTTTTAATTAAAAATCAATTTTAAGATTATCTTAATACCTTTTTGGTGGGTACTTGTAAACATCTATGAACTCTGATGCCTTGCTGACAATTGACGTGGACGGTTTTAATGTAGGCCGCGTTCTTCTATTAAAATGTAAAATTAAAAAAATGGTCTATGAATTATTATTTGCTAAGAATTTACTCTTACCCTGACAAAGGAGTACCCCTATCAATGTCATTACTACTAGCCGTCGTATACGTGGCACTTCCCCTAACTCGGCCTCTATTAATTTACAGATATACTTTGAATTAGTTAGCATCATAAAAAACGTGTTTTTATTTAAATAATATATAAAATACAGTTTTAGTTATACACGCTCTACTAAAAAAACTTTTAAATTGTATGACATTAAAGCTTTATACAAATAAAAATAGAGCTTTTGTGTTTTACATAGAAAATAGCATCAAAACACCATAGCTAACAATATCATCATATTCATTAAAAGAATTATCGAACAGATGTGCCTTGAAGAATTATAGGATTAAGTGCAACAAAAAACCGAAACGGTAAGGTGAATTCGATAAATATCGTTCAAGTAGTTGATATCCACCACCATAGTTACAGTTTTAAGTAATTAAACTACACAAATAATTTCTTAAACTAGAATAAGTAGTTAGTAATATATGTTTGCACATCAGCATATTATCAGCATTCACAGTGATTATATACTATAAATTAAATTAAATTACAATAAGGGTTCGTATCATTATGTGTGTATTTATAATTTTCACTCAAAATTTTCTAATATAAAAAAATTGATAAAAACTGGATAATAAAAAGTTATTATTGTATGAATTTGAAACACCTCAAGCTCTCGGAATTATTAGTAATGGTAACTATTGAATTAATTAAAAATCATTTGACAACTATTCGGACATTAATCAATAGTCGTTAAAATACTATAGAGTAGTACTCGATAATTTTGAATAATCGATAGTATCATTAATAAATTGTATTACTGGTAAAAACATTGTTAGCTTCAAATTAAATTATTTTCATTTATCTAACATTGGTACTATTAAGAAGACAATGAAAAGTATATAAATTCTTCAAGATACGAACTCTAATTATAAAAACTGTTTTATTGTTAATTTTAATTATATGCAAATAGTTGTGTATTTATAGTTCACAAAAAGCACAAATATCAATAGATAAGGAAGTAAAGAAATCGCAGTTGCAAGTGAAAAATATTGCACAATAACTCAAAGTAGTGACAAACGATTTTCTCTTCATAAAAAATATGTACAAATCTTGAAACTTTTAAGGTTAATTTAAATGTTGAAAAATATATTTTTTTATAGTCATAGAAATTAAAAAATATACAATTTCTTAACAGCGTTTAAGATCATTTGATATTTAAATCTACTCGTCTATTCACTTTCGTTTGGTGAAGAAATTATTATTTGTTTTACGTGTAATTCATTACATATAAGCGAAGGTTACCAATTGAATACTATTTATTTATTTTGGACAATAATAATTTCTTAACTATGAGTAATTTGTCAAAGGTAAATAGTACTAAGTTGCAGGTTAAGATAAAAAAAAAAAAATAACAAAATTTTTAAATGTCAAAATTATAATTGTTAATATATTTAATTTATATTTTTAAATAAAGTGAAAACTAGCTAATAATTTTACTAAAATATACAAAACTGAAAGAATTTTATGTAATACTGTAATTTTGTGTTGATAAAATGTTGATAGCACTAATATTTTTTATTTATGCTTATTTGCAAACTTACATTTAAATACATTTCTGCTATATTTTTATGAGCATAGGCTATGCACTAACTACATTTATAAGTGTTAATTCATTTATTATACATTAAATTAAATTGAAACTGTTATTATTCATTTTTACTTAATTAGAATAATTAAATATTTTATAGGTATACAATCAGTAATCGCACTTTTAGGCATTTATAAATAGGTTAATTTTTACTTTTAAAATTAATATGTACAGATATCTTTAAAAATAAAAGGTATTTACATCTATTTTAGCTATAGAAACGTTTTCTACGTGCATTACGTATGTTATACATTTAGTAGTATTGAACCCAAAAGTTAATTTTGCCAATATTATAATATTTTTTTGTATTTAATTGATATACGTCTACATAATAGAAATCATTTAATGTAGCTAAACCATTTTAAATTGGTTAAACTAAGATATAAAATATATTTGAAATGTGTAATACCCGTGTAATAAATAAATAAGTGACTTGACTATGTTGAAACTATTATAGTAATTTATATTAATAAAACTTAAGTCTCAGCATGTATTCTGTAATTGTCATTCTAAACTTTAAAAAAATTTCTCTGATATAATTAATTACAGTGTGTAAACTTTTGTAGTGTTCATACGGGTACAGTTATGTATGTTATATGACACTATAAATCTCACAGAGATAATTATAATTTTTCAAGATTTGTACATGTGTAATGTTTTTAAGTATTTGATCCTATAATTAAGGTAATAATTATTTTTTAAAGTGGACAGTGGTAAAAAGAAAATATAGCTGATCTGTGTCATTAACAAATAAACTCAGTTACTATCATTACGTCGTGCAATATTTAACTAATTTTCACTTAAACATGCTCTCTATAATTTGCCACGTTGGACGATTCGATCGAAACAACATCGGTCTGTGTTTATTTTGTTATAGCATTAAAAATGTGTTTCTGATAAAAACTGATGCGTTTACATCGATCCTAAAATATTCATCCTCCATACCTTGACGGTTTTTCGTTGCACTCTTTGCATTCTGTCACCGGTTTGCTCGTCGGCGCTGCTGACGTGACTGACTGAACACCCGAACCGCTCTTGGCAGAAGTGGATGGGAATTGATCGGGAATTCGGAAGACCGAGGGTTTAGATAAAGGAGTCGAAATCGTACTAGACTTTTCCACAGAGTTGTCGTCAATGTACCCTTCTTCTTCCTCTTCGGATTCGGCCTCCGAGACTACGACATCATATTCTTGGTCAAAGTCGATCGACTTGGCGGTGGTGGTCGTCGTGGACGTGCTTGTGGTCGTTGTAGTCGTCGTCGAAGTAGACGGAGTTTGTGGCAATGAGAATGGTGTAGGTCGAAGTTTGAGCAATAAGGGACTAGTTATGACCGAGCCTCTGTGAGTGGTGACTTCATAACGGGTAGTATTGTAGGGATCTACGATAATCCGAAAGTCTTGAAGATTTATTTTTGGCTTGGCACTTGTGGCCACAGTTGTCCAGTAATCGTTTACTAGAGGTGACGGCGGTTTTAAATATAACGAAGGTGATGAGGCAAATGGATAGGCTGTCGAGGGAGTACTAGGAGTGGACGTAGGAAACGTAAATGTTGAGCGAGTACTTGGGGTTGACGAAGGAAACTTAAAGGTTGAGCGGTCCGTGACGAAAGGACTTACACCGATGACTGTAGACCTGATTAAAATTATATAGATGTATATGTACAAAAAATATAAGTTATATGTATAAAATATGTACACAAATCAAATGGGTGTTTAGTTTTAAGTGGTTACAACTATAATTAACAGTAAATGATAGATAGTAAATACGATAATAGTAGTAATAGATAATAGTAGTAGTAAAAGTAGTAGGTAGCTATGTTTTGTGTATGAAATGATCGTCATTATGCAAATAAGGCGCGCAGCAACTCGAAAACAAAATTTACAAAATTGTTTTGTCATTAAAAATGCAAATGATAGTGATTGTTTGTATTAATCGAAGGTTAATAGTTCATCACTAATAGAATTTTGACACGTCTCTTTGTTTTATAAAAAATGTTAAGTCTATCTCAATTAAATGTTTTATACCGTATAATTTAATTTTTATCAACATTATATGTACACTATACAGTTAGTTTTTTTAACATATACATTGTAAGCACTTTGCATAAACGCAATTATACGGTACATGTATAGCATCGCACGCCCAACAATAATTTTGGAACTGCTCTACAATAACAATACATTGTAATAAATCCGCACAGCCTTATTTACATTGTCGTTGAATTTATGTGGTCGTGTATCTATCATAAACGTTGCATTGTAATTTGTTTAACCTCTTACTCAACTAAAGTAGTAATTTCCCAATCATAAGCGAAATTCATTATTAAAATAATGAAAAAAATAATCACTCACCTGTAAGTGGCTTTGGTCTGTTGATCTCGTTGAGGTTCTTCCTCGGTGACCTGTAAACAATAATCAGACATTTAAAAATATTTTCAGATAAATAATACATTTTTATTATTTATTTTCTAAAAATCTTTTACAATATATAAATCTATTATTATGCACCATTATACAATATTCAGTACACGCTGAAATACAATGGAAAAATATAAAAACATTTTACTTATATTTTCATACAAACTTGATTCTTGCATAATTATTTGTCCAAAAACTGTTGTAATAAACGTTTTAAATATTACACTAATTTTAACGTGGCCTTAGTTTTACAATTTGTAAAAACGTGTTTTTATCAGAACATATTATTGTCAATTAGAAGGGAGATGTTCTTACCAGTTAGCTTGTGCACGTTTGCTCTTAAAAACTAAAAATAATTAAGGTGGCATACATTCGATTTATCTAATAAAATACACGCACACCACAGAAATCATACAATTTTAATGTTCTTTTAAAGATCGACGTATTTATTCACTTAGATTAATTTATGGAAATCGGAGTGCTCAGTAATTATTAATCATCATTATCCTAATCTTTGGTTAAATAAACGTAAAATAAAAAATCTGTAACAAGTACAGTTTTTTTCATTATAGATGATAAAAGAAAAACAATCCAAGCGAACACTATGTATCGTTGTAAATTCGTTATATAATTATTTTTTGTCGGGTTCTTGCGTTTTTGAGTTTAGTGTTTTCTTTAATTTACTTTCAATTTTTTTTATTTACATTTAATAGATCCTATGCTTTAAGTCTTAATGTATACAGCGATCTCCTCTAAACTAAATTAGACCTCTAAATAAACTAATTCGACTAGTTTTTTACATGTTACAATACTTTATTAGAACGTAATAAAACTATTTAAGTTAATGATTTTCTATAGCTTAAGTAGGTGGTATGTTATACATAACTATAAAATACCTTAAGATTATATTCTGGCACAAATGTATTGGCTTGGTATCTTGGGGTGGCTTGAGATACCGGTACAGATACTCTGAATGGATCTGGTTGTGGTTTCAACCTGTTGTTGTTGTTATTAACAGATGAAAGGGTGAATTGACCATAATCTAACAGCAATTATTACATTTTTTAGGTATAGAATTTAAATTGCAAAACTATTGGATAATTTTCAGATAAATTATATTGACTTCTTTTCACTTACCAACATCTTTGTAGATATCTGAATCGTCGTCGTAGACATTATAGAAAGTAGGGTCGAATGGCTGTGATACATTGCGAACAGTGATCGTAGTCGTGGTTCTGGCTGTGGTTACGGGTTGTACAGTCTGTTCAATCGCATAAGATGGAACGGAGATTTGTTGTGGTCTATAATTGTATAATCATGTTAGTACATAAATATTTGAGCTCACAATAACACAGAATTTGAATGAACAAAAATAAGAGTTTTATTTGTAAAATAAATTGTGTTTGTGTCGAGTTATTAAGTAAAATTAGGCGTTCTTTAACATTTTGCATATGTTTATATGACAATTTTAGATGATATAATGAAAGTTTTAAAAATGTATAGTAAAAACAACAACTTGTCTATGCGCGAGTAAAAAGAACGTCTAATCACAATTGGTGCGTGTAAAAAGTCATGGTGTGTCTCACCTTTTAAATAAAGTCGTTCGTGCAGTCGTTCGGACAGTTGGTTTCAGCGACTGCATTTTAGCAGGCGACACCGTTGTCCAGTTAGTAGTTGTCGTCGGTATTTTAAGTTTTTTTTTTTTATCTTCGAATACACTTGAAGACACCGTGGTGTCGTAAACTGTCATTTGCATGGCCGTCTGCTGGTCATGAAATTTGTTTTTGTCTTTTATACGAGAATAAGCTTCGGCAGCCGAGTCGTACGGTTTTGGTCTTGAAGTTATCGCATTGTAAGAATTAAGAGTCAATGAACTCGATTCATTTGGCTTTTGTAAATCGATGGTTTTAGATACATTTTTTAAAACGGTGTCCTTGGATATGCTCTCAGAAGGTTCGTCACCCTCGCCACTAAACTTCATGTTATCGATTTGTGCTAGTTTCTGTGGTATTTGGGGTTTTTTCGGTTTTACGTCATAGTCTTCTTCATCATCGTAGTAATACTCGTCGTCGGCGAGATCGTCGTTTTCGTTGTATTCTTCCACATCTTCTAATTGACTACTCTCTTGACTGTCTTCTTCTTCTTCTTGTTCTTCAGCATCACTTCTATCTCCGTCATCATGTTTCGGATGCGGGTAGTGTGGACGTGGTGGATCGGGTGGAGGTGGTCTTAATTTAGTGAAGTTGGCCGGTCTGTAATTGTGTGCGACCGTAAGAGGCCTTAATGCATTAAGTTTCGGTAATGGCTCCGGCTTAGGAGTAGTTGAAGGTTTCGGTTTTGGTTTGGGTGTAGATTTTGGTGGCTGCTTGTGTTCTTCTTCTTTACTGTCAGGAGATTCTTCTTGACTTTCTTCTTGGTTTTCGAGGTCTTCTTGCTCTTTGTTATTTTTATTCTCGCAACTGTTTTTATTTCTGCAACGCACTCGATTAACTAAGTGTTCAAACGCTTTATCAGCATTCTTCAAATCGTGCTGCAAAGGACTTTCTTCCTCCTCGTAGTCTTCTTGATTTTCGTTTTCCGGGTAATCGGAGTAATCACCTTTGTCATCGACTGCCTCTTTGTCGTCTTCTGAATTTTCTGTGTCATTTGTTTCCTCGTTTTCTAACACGGAAGAAGAACTCATTGGCGGCCCGCCCCAATAGTTATTCGACGAAGGACATGGTATCAATAGTCCCGGATACCTTTGAGATTTATATAAACAACGTTTTTGCTTTTGTGGGTTGTCCATGTTAGTGATGGGTATGTAGGAAGAAGGTTTCGCTATCACTTGGTTTTGTGGTACTCTGCGTAAGGCGTAATGAGTAGTTGAAACGGTCGTATCAGTTGGTCTTATCCTCGTCATTCCGCTATGGCTAACATTTATAATAAAAATATGACGTCACAATTATTCTAATTTTAAATGTAGTTAAGTACCCGTCACCATCATTCTACATCAACTTTCAATACTACTATTCGCGAATAGCACTGATGGTACTAACAGTGCAAATAAGTCGGTTCTAATAATATTGTGATAGTCTTTTTACCTCAGTCGAGTCTGTCTTTTAAAACGTTGTTTAACGTGGAGTTGCCCCGTGTCGTTTCTGTTTCAACGTGTAGGTATACGTTATGTACAAAACAAAAAAAATAACAGTTACGTCAAGTAAGTCTAAGTACGATATATGAGTGCAAATTATATTTTTGCCCGAAACAAACTACTAACTACTTATACTAACCTGAAGTTTTGATTTTGTAATTGGAATTGTTTGTTCTTCTCTACTCCCACAAACGGCTAATAAACATTATTAAAGGCACAAAGTATAGTTATGGAATTTCAATTATAAAATTTAACATAAATTAGTTTTTTATTACCGATATTACGTTTCTATGATTGGTCAGACCATCTCGGTCTCGAGCTACTTGACCCAAAGTCGACGGTTGACCTCTGTACACTCTTTGTTGACGGTCGCCGTCGTCTTCGATTGCTCTGTAATCGTCCTCATCGTACAACTGTTGTTGTTTGATGATGTGTTGATCGTTGATTTGTTGTTGATCTTGGGTCTGTTTCTGGCCAGTGAATACGGACGGCGTTACTCTTTGAGGTTGGGGCGTTGGATGTCTTGGACGTTCTGACGTCCGTGTTAATGGCAACGCGTTTTCTTGGTTAATATCTGATTGACTTATAGCAGCTTCAGCTCCGCATCCAACGTTACGAGGCCAATCACACGTTTGCAACTCGTGACTGCAAATTAATGAGATTTTAGTGACTTATGAGTATTACACTGGAATAATGTAGTAAAAGTCTATAAATTGTTTATCTAATGAAATTATTGACTTTTATGTGTTACACGTTTTACTTTTGCTAACTATCAACAACAATGATCTCATATCATTTGATTATATTCATTGCACTGATGTTATTAAATTACAGTAATTTTAGTATTAAACTCGAGTTATTAAGCATAGTAATCGGTTTATGAGTTATGCTGTTTCGTAATGAGATCAAAAGCACGATTTTGTTTTTTATAATAGGTGATAAATTTAAAGCGAAACGATATAAAATATGGTTTATTCAATTATATTTATTATGACTGGTTAAAATTGATTACTACATGAAAGATGATGTAACTAGAAAATAATTATTTATGATAATTGCAAATTCATGTATTGCCCGTGGTCCGATTTACAGTATTCCATTCTGATTACACTGATTCGGTATTAATTCTCCAATAGTCGACTCATTGATGACGGAGAGGTAATGTCCAAATCATGGACGTCTAAACATATTCTATTTGAAAAATATTGGTTCATTGAATTTAAAAAAATTATTTGAATATAGTACTAAAAATTGTTTAAAATTAAAAAGTGTATTGATTTGTATTGTTTTAATTATTACGGGGTCCAAGAGACCTGAAGAAAGTTAGCCGAGAGGAATATGTGTACATAAATCACATTAAATTACATAAATGAATCTGCAACAACGATGTGGTATAATAATGAAATTATATTTTTTATTATTTCGCGTGGGCGGATGGCTAGCGAAGATTGATTGTGGATAATTATTATCGATGCGGATATGTCAAAGCTTATCGTAGACGCAAGAACTATCAATGCCCAAAACGATTCGTTTCATTAGTCAAAAACTCTCTTTTCGTTTAATTTACTCCTAATGATATCTTTAATCCGATCATCCAAACGAGAACAAAAACACTGCGATCACGTCATAACCTTAAGATAATGTACAGTGCACTCGTGTGAATTGTGTGCAACCTCTTGTGTGTTTCATATAGTACCATTGTGTGTGCAACGCGTAAGGCGTTTCATTAATTGAATGAAACTATAACACAGAGATAATAAACGCACGGATTTACGATTTTTTATTATTTTTCATGATATCGAGTACGGTTAATGAACGAACGGTATTTTTCGTTTATGATTACATCACTCCATCGGTGTAATGTATAATATAAATAACATGTCAGATGCGTGAAAGTAGTATATCACACTCGTTCATATTATATCTAAGGATAATATATAGATTATGTACGTGTATAGTGTACTGGCTATGTGTATATTTGTGTGTCTGTAAGAGCTGTTGTGTTGCAAAATAGCTTTGATAATGGTTTTCTGAATCTGAAATACTTATGCTTCGGAAGAAGCGTATACAAGTTGCAATCGTTTAATTGAATTTCCACTTACCTGTACATCAACCCTCCGGTACACGACTCCAGAAGAGCACCACCGAATACGCATACATAATACTGTGAACAGTCGCTTGGGTGTGGATAGTATCCGAACTCTTCAGGGCATTTGAACTCGCCATTATGTTGTCGTTCATCGCACAAACCTAGAAAATCAAATCGAATTAAGTAAAACATACCAAGGCGTACTCGTTATTGTATTGTTATCTAAAAACCGACTAGGCACATTTTGGGATTATCACAGTCATTAAAGTATTACAATAACCATTAAAGAAGTGATGAAATATGAATAAAAATCATATGAATACAATTATACAGTAAGTAGAGATATTTATTATGATTGAATGATATCATATTAGCATAGAACCATGGATTAGACAAGGCCAAACACTGTGTACTTATTTCAAATGAAATTACATTGTCTAAATCTTTCTCGACCGAATCAGTACTCCCAAACAATGGCAATAATAATTATCTTAATAGCACGTCATAATTCATTCTATAACAGATCTCGGTCCCGTATTAAGACCGTTATTATTGAAATATATTTGTGATTTATGGAATCACGAGAAATCTTACTATCCTTGAGAATCGATAAAAAAATAGAACATTACATTAAAAAAAAAAAGTATTACGTTTTAGTAAACAATGTCATTTTACGTAGGCGTATTACCATTTAAAGATCAGATAAATTAAGGTTATAACTAGAAAATCTAGCATAAGTAATAAATAGGTTAGTGAGTTACTTTACATGAAAAATGCTCAGATTACATACAAAGCCTTTCAGTTAGAGTATATTATATTACATTATATTAAAATTCACTCAAGAATTATGTAATTTTTTAACGATAAAAAAAAAGACGGTCACCACGACATAATTTTCTTTGAAAAACTCATATATCTTATGATAAAAAACCGAGAGAGATTATTGATCCTGTTTACATTATTTTTATATTTCGACAGTTATTTAACGCACGCAACAAAGTCACTAGAATATAATATCCAAAGATGGCCAAGTTAAAGGAAATAATTAACTCAATTTAAGTTAAATTAAGTAAAATAAATGGCGATAAATTAACAGTTAAAAGTTAACAAATTATAAATTTAACTAGCTAAGTTGAATTTTTTTTAACTTAACTAATTTAAAAAAAGTTTATTTCTTTTAAAATTAATTTTTTGGTTAAAATTTCTTAAAATCATTTTTTTTATTGATCGGTGATCAAGGGGAAGTTATGAATCGACTATCGACTTTTAAAACTAAATAGGAAAAAAAATTAATAATAATTTTTTATTAGTTTTTTTTTAATTTTGGTGTCGGTTACACTGTTTTATCTTTAAAACTAGTTATTAAAAAAAATCACTTCAAATCACATATATTTTTGAAACAATTAAAAAAATTATATATATTTTTATATAAATATAATATTTGGAATAGAGGAAAATTCGATTTTATTTTTTAATTAAACTACATACACAACGTATAAAGACATACATTTTTTTTTATGAAATATTGAATTTAGCTTAACTGTTATTTTAACTAATTAACTGAAAAAAACTAAGTTATTTGAATGGAATATTACATTAGTTAATTTAAAAGTTTATTAGAAAAATAATTAACTAGTTAATGCCCACCATGGATAATAATTTTGTATAACATTACTTCGTAATGGTTACTGATATTCTATTGAACAGTAAATAGCATTTATACAATAATTTAGCTTCGACACTATTTATTTATCTTTTCGTTTAATTTTTCTACAATTTTCCCGTTTCATTTTCTAAAAAAAATTACATAGCTACATTTCCTACAATTTTACCATTCCACCGGGGATAATTCAATTATACAATCATGATATTCAATTTTTTCTGGACATTACGCATTAATACAAACAAACAAATTTCACATTTAATAATTTTTACATTAAATTTATTATTCATTTTTATAATAAACAGAAAAGAGCCTTCGCCTGTTTATTGCGACATTAAGATATTTATGTTTTATGATTATGATAATTCGGTCAACGAGCTAAGAGATACAAGCTCACATAATAGTTTCGTTCGACATTTACTAAAAAATATTACGTGTACTTCTCATAATTTTTTACTCGGACACAATAGAGGTCGCTATCCAATGTAAACTTAATGCACGTGTATTTATATGGCCCATAACTCGCATGTTTAATTTTGATTTATCGAATTCGAACGGTCGTGTAGTCAGCCGTAGACAATCTTATTAATCATTCGGAACGCGTGCAACTGTGTGCCATACCATTGTCATTGCCGCCTTAAGCCAACCGGCCCTATAATTTGATCGCTACATTTCATTCTACCGGTACAAGTGCAGTGCTACGACACAGCTCGTGCCTGGACACCGGTAATAGGAGTCCCATTATTTCGGACGTCGTGCCGTGTCCACTACGAGAGATAAAAGGAACGGCACTAGGGTCAGCACTGTGACAACTACAACAATATCCTATGGGTTGTCGAAATGCCGCGTGTACATGTTGAGCCGTCATACTACACGCATTAGTATAAAACCCAAACACGCGTAAATACACAAAAACGGCAATTGTCTTCGGGCGCCACCGCCTTCACCCGACCAAACACGTAGTACGGTATTATGCGAGTCGCAAACGAGTACACTTGTCGCCCGTGGGAGTCACAACGCCGGCAAAGCGTAAAGTCGCCGTTTACACAGACATTATACTATTACGCGTGTCCGCGCGTGTGTGTGATAATGTGTCGTATAAAATACACACCAGAACGTTATCACATTGCACAGTGTACACACTCTCGTAGGAACATAATTTACTTTTACGTGGACACTGCGGCGTGTGCCATAGAAACGCACACAGCCGCAATGTATTAAAAATGTGTGAGGCAAAAAAAAAACTGGTCCACGTTTTATGCGATTTGCGGGACACTCAGAAATGTCAAAACTGGGCGCTCTCGTCAAGGCGAGGTCGACTCAAGACCGCCGCGAAGTCGAGAGCGGGCGTGGCCGGCCTGCATCGGTCTTGCATCACATTTATTCCGGCGCTTTATAACACCACTGCGCTATGTGTTATTCGCAAACCGCAGCTTTTGTTTATGCTGGTCATTAATAACGGTAATAAAAAACGAAAATGAAATGATTGCAGTATAACGCTAACTGCACGTCCTTTTTAGGAGATAATTTGCAATATTGTTTGTTTTGACCCGGCGGACGTAATTAAGTCAGACGAACAATGAGATTGCAAGTGCAAGACCACGAAAATGTCTATAATTATTCAAACGGAGTTCACGAACGTATTGGCCGAGGACAAACATTTAAAACGGTCGACTCTGCGTAAGGTACTGAAGTCCTATTATCGTTTTATACACATGGCGGTATTGAGTTTTTTGAGTCTTGGCAAAACAGTTAGTTCTTAGTTCGGCCGTTTTCTTCCTCGCGGTAAATTCAGTCGCGTTTCGGGCAACAAATGATCTGCTCGTTTGAAATTTTTCCACTGTTTTTGATGTCGAGTTTGATTGCGAAACGATCATAATACCTCGTCGATCGCTTGAAATACGAAAGTGTAACCTTGAGAGTTTTTAAAAATATGTATCACTCAAACTAATGAACTAGACACATAATTATAATCGGAACAATTTATTGTGTAGGTAACCTAACCCGAAAAACTACTAGTCATGTATTCGTAGTAATTTGATTTTTCAACTGTCAAGCGAATAGACTCGTTAATAATACTGTTGTTTTATTGATAGTAAAAACTGGTTGCCGGTTAAAATCTTGACAATTATTTTTGATTTAATCGACTTTATAACAAATCCAACGACATCGATTCGTTTTGAGTTTCAAAAATAATTGAAAATAAGCAAAACCAACTCGGGCACATCCGGCTGCTCGAACACATCCATATATTACTGTCGGACGAACTCTACAGACCACAATAGCTAATTACACTCGTATCACAGATGACTACTGAAACTACTCAACGGTCCATTAGAAACAGATGAGCGTATGCCCATCGCGTATCTTTTGATGATTTCTATAAAAACCGATAATTTGGTTTCATGTTAACTTTTACTTTCTCCCGTTTCAGTCAAAAGTATCTCCTCGGAACTCGTTTTTCAGTAGTAAAACGCGTCCTCGGTCGTTATTTTAATTAACTGCCCGGACTTGATTGAATAACGGCTAAATTTAAGTTTTACCGTCTATACGATACATTTGACGCACAACTCAATCCGACGAGCGACATTCTAGAAACGGTCCAGAAGATTTAAATTGTCCTACTGTAAGTGCTCATAATGGTGTAATTCAACGCGATGTGTACAAACATATTTTGTTACACTGTTAAATAGAAAGGCGTCAAAAATGTTTATTCCTCAAATCTTTGTCTATTCATTCGCCACACTCCGTACACACGTTATCGCACGTTACACTGAATTTCTATGCATCTTTAATTTATATTTTCGTTAACACCTCGTGTATCATTCGAAGAAATCTATCGACAGAAGGAAAAACGATAAAAAACGTCCAAGGTTCGTGAAGAATTTGCATTTAATGTCGAGTTTCGCAACTCTATTTATATTTTTTACACTTATTGTGTAAAATATGCTTTTCATTATTTTTCTAAACAACGGACATCCAACAAAAAGATATTATTAAAGACGGGCAAAATATTATTACTGTTTCAAGGATACCGCAGCCTTCGTCCTACACAGGAGACCCTCTAAAACAAACGAGGAACCCTGTAATGAACACATTGATATGGGTCTTGTATGGCCATAACATAATGAGTAATAATATGCCGTAGATTTTTACTTTCACTGAATTATATTTCATTTGGCTTGTGTCCACTGGGTTGTGAAATTGTCGAGTTTACGTGACGCGTAATACGGGTAGTAAAATTGCAGTATACATGCACATCAAATTTCAAAATAACCTCAGGTACATGGAGTATTGTCATTTGTTTGGGTATGTATCGATCCGGAAGCGCAAAATACATTTCAACGCGTTTATTGGCCGTGTACAATTCACCCAAGGGGTCAAAATGGAATTGTACTCGTTGAGTGTTTGTGTACAGTAATGCCGTACGGTTAAGCGCAATAAAAAATTGCTATTTATAACTGACACACGCTAAATAGTTGCACGTTTAACCGCCTGTGTTTGCGGAGAAAATAAAGTGTTTTTCGTTGCAGTGATATTAATTCTGCTAGTTATGCGTTAAAACTTCTTAATGTGTAGATTTAGATTGCAAATTTTATCTGTGTGTGTCGAAACACGCGCGAGTTAAAAAATATGAACTCTGTAAATTGTTACTCAACGTTTTATCATAACGATTTCATCGACATCGTTTCCTAGACAAAATCCTACAGAAGCTCATCAGTTTCGATTTTAATAATCGTCATATCGAGTAGATTGTAATTACTAAGCCTCTGACCTCCTCCTAATGCGGCCACCACATGTGTATTTTCCTACAAAGACCGTACGCCGGAGGACGTCAGTCGCGTGTGCAGTGCGTTTTCATTGTCTGTTCTGATCTGCGTACGTCTCTATTCAACCTGTCCGGACGGCGTCGAGGTCCTGACCCCAACTACAAGCGGCGGCAATAAAACCAAAGAATCGGACAAAATTGTCGGACGGGGATAACGGACGAGCCAATACGAACGATTTAGCTGACGACAGCCGTTTAATAATATAGACCAACGCAGGAACCCATTACATAACACTGGACGGGTCTTCAATCTGTTTTTCGTCAGCCCCTCAGCTATAACGATACGGACGTTGTTGCCTAATAGTCGTACAATATATATGCGGCGGCGCATACCTCTTGTACACAAACGGTTTTATTTTCGTTGCTCCACATCCTATCGGCCTATTCGTGACTCTTGAAGCCGCTGTCGTGTTCTGCCATTGTGTTCCTCCGTTTGATCCGCAGAGGCCCGTGCATATTGTTTGCGGTTCTATGGTTTAGGGAGTGCACCACTAAGAGATATCGCCGTCGAAAGCTGTGCCTTATCCTACGTCCGCACGTAACAACCGAAAGGTGATGTCATGTTCCTAACTAATCAAAGTCTGTCACGATCCGGGCCGGCAGTAAATGTTACCTCGAGACAAATCGTTAGAGTACGAGCTCCGACGGTTGCAAAAACATTACGGATTAATGTTGTGAGGTGTCCCGCAAGAGATTATCCGCGGCTTTCGATCGTCGCACAACGTTATTATCGGCATGTCTACCTAGCAGCGGATAACATACGAAATAAAATATCCACACAAATTATGCAATTTTCAGACAGCGCGCCATTATATTGTACACTGGACCGTTGTAACGCCGAATATTATAAATATGTTGTTTTGTATTCACAACGTGTTAATATGACTTGCGCTGTTATTCAATGCAATTGGTTATTGTAATGCGAGCTTATATTGTACAGCTGTCTTTTTTACTATGATTTCAGTCGGAGTAAAAAATACATTTATGAATATTTTCGTTTAGCCAGCAACATTTCGTAACGTCCGACTCTCTTTATGGTTTTCAATTGGAGTACCCTAGTTTTTCATGCTCGTGTTAAATGATCTGTGACACTGCGCTTACTCCAAATGACTTAATCGGTGACAATGTCAACAGTGTTAGACGTGCGAGTAATTATGTCGAAACGACTTTGTGTTTTGTTGTGGTTAAAAAGTACACCTGCCAAAAACTAACCATAGTCGTTTGGTCATCCAATGAATTTGCGTTATCGAATTTTTATCGCACTTAATTACGAGACATTTTTTCTGTAGCAACATGACGTCACTATGGCATAGACGTTAATAACTTTTTTCAAGGACCATAAAAAATTAGCTATTAATAAATCGCTCAAAGGTGAATTCATCGATAGGTGAAATGTATTTATTTAAATTATTTAGTTTGATAAAAAAATTCACATATTCTATGCGAGTATTTCTTCAATGACTCAATTTGTTGTGCCTATGAAGCTACATAGGTATTATAAGATTTTTTTCCTGTTATAATAACATATTAATAATATTATTATAGCGTAAAAAAAAAAATGTTAACGATTATATTATGATTGTTAACTTTTTTTTTTCTTAAGAGTAAATTAAATACTCGAGTTAATAATATCAAGTCTAGCGTATTAACATATTATGTTAAACAGTGTGTGTATTCAGTCATCTCTCTTTACACTAACAAAACAATCGAATCGTTAAATTACTATAGTGGCACACGTTTAAAGCGTAGAAAGTGAATTTAATTTATTTCACCGAATAACGTTAATATAAAATCGTGCAGCCAAAGTTATAATTATTCTAATCGTATGGCACAATGATATTGGATATAGATGAACAAAAGTTAGCGATTTCAAGGGATTTCCAATAGACAACAGGTAAATAAAGTTACTTTAATTAGTCGCCGTTGGAGATGTGAATCATCTGAAATTAAAAACCATCATCGGAGTGTAGCAAGGAATATTGTAGTGCATGTTGTGAAATGAGCCAGCACCTACATACTTGATAATATAAAACAAAAACGAGTTATTACAATTCGTAATTTTTTTTTTGGACAAATATTCATTCACCGAGTATTGATATCAAACTATTAGCCAATTGACCATTTTCTGGATGACCACTTTTAAATTAAATTTAAAATAAGTGTTTGGATAAAACGCAAAGAAATTAACAAAACAATATTCAAATATATTTATATGTATTCATATAATTTTGGATAGTTTTAGAATAACCAGTATATTTTATAATAACTATAACTTAAGTAATATTCAAATTTCTTTTTTAAGTTTTGTATTAATTTCCCTTTTGCGTACTTGGTTTTTGTTTAAATTAAGAAGCGCACATAAATGCAAGTTGAATTTTAATACGTATAAAAATAACTATGGTTTATATTTAAATCTTTCGTTACTTCTTCGAAATATCATAATTTTTAAATAAGAATAAATTTAAAGTTCCACTGAAAAATCTACTTTTGGAAACCAGTAAGAGTAATGTCTAATAAACACTTTTAACTTTAGCATAATGATGCCCCGATATTTTTAAGGTGTTTACTTGAATTGGTACAACATTTGAGTATTTAATACTACAGAGAACAAATAATCAGGGCCACTAAATGGCTGTGACATATTTTTTTAGTTCTTCAGAGCGTGAAACCTGTTTCATTTACACGCTTTAGGCAGGATATTTTACCTAATCATCGTTTTATGTTTTCTGTACATAAATATTATTGTTTACTAAGCATTAATTTTACAAAATAATGAAATAACAATGTACGTTATTATGCGATAATATCAATGCGAACCACATTAAAAAAAGAAAACACTGCTATGACATATACACACCGGCGGAGAGATTAGCACAAGTAAAAGTGCAAGTATCGTGTCTGGTCACCGCGGCCGTTACGGTGTTCTAATTATATTGTGGGCGTTAAAATGGTTCAAAATCCATTCGATACTCTGATATCATTTCCTCTTACTATCTCTTTTGCTCGTACACATCTAACATTCTTTCGGCGTATTAGGATCCAAAAATCAAAGTAATTATACACACTATAATGCACTCGGGCGTATGTAAATAACTCAGATGCAACAATTATGCAAATACAACGACTTCGAGTACAAAATGTAAATTAGTAATTATAAATGAATACTAGTGTTTTGGTTTTTCTTATGAGTGGCAGTATTTAAATTGCAATTATTTAATCTGAAACTTGCGTATCCTCCAAACATTACAAAACGGACAGTAAAATTGCTAGTTAAATAAAAAATGTTATTATTGTGCAAGAAAATTTTTTCAATACAACACATAGTACAATGTGTGCATGTATTGTAAGGCGCGGGTGGTTTTAAAATAAGTGATCTGTATAAACATGAATTACATGAAGGTCGAAATGAAAGTTGAACATGTCTATGTCTACACTAAATGTTATGTATGCAATACCAGTTATATATTTTATTAAATATGGGTCAAAGTATAGCTGTTGTTCTAGAAACTTCAGGAAATAGACGTTTGCTGTGACAAAATATGAAGTAGCAGGAGAATTCATTAAAACTATTGCAAGCAAAAAATAATTGCAATGGCATTCTTTTGGAGATTCCTAACTGAATGATTTAAAATGTTTGCCGCTAGATTTTTTTTTTTTTCAACAGTTAAAAGTATAATTTACTTCTGTCTGAATTTAATTTTTTTAAACTACATGACGTAAGAGTGTTTTCATTTTTACCGGAAAGCGATTTAATGAGTGTCTTAGATACATTTTGCTGAAAATAAAATATGAAAAATATTGCGTTGTAATCCGAAATTCATACAATTAAAATAAGTGTAGTTTCTGCTTTACTTTATATTCGTCATTATGTGCAGTTACGTTTTATTAACCGCGTGTGTGTTTTTTCATATCTTCTTCTAATTATTTAGTTTACAATTATCTCACGGTGATCGAGAGAAAATAGTTGCATAAGTATAGTTCGTTTTACACTCAAGCAGATAGTACGTGTACAGTTGCTGCAATAATTCAGAAAACAACTTGTGTGCGAGCGCCGAATGTAAATAACTAACATTAGACTAGGTCGAGTTGATTTAAATGGCCAAACTGGAATCGGACAAATTATCATTTTTTTATGTACGCAATTAGTTATATTTTTAATTAAAATCAAGTGGCGAAAACAAAGTTGCACACATAGCCGTCGCCCCAGAGAACATTTGGCACGTGACGTTTACAATTGGCTTACCTATAATTTGTTTTTCAATTGCGAGGCTGAAATCGGCACGGGCGGCAGTAGAAATGGAATATTGGTGAGAAATAAACGATAAAACTAAACGAAGCACCGTGACTGTTTAATTAAAAATCATTCTTGCGCTGTCCATATACACTGGAAGTGATCAGTTGTCGAATAATTGCCGTCAACAACGTCGTTAGCTAAGTAATTATTGTGTCAGGTGGCACTGAAATCTGTATTCATCGCAGTGGGCACCGGCGATGACGGTAAGTCGACCGGGCCGTGATGTATTGGCTGCGTGTCCGACCTCGATCATTAATCTATTGTCGCACAGGACTATATCGGTCACGCTGGCCCGTTTAGTATCGTATTAAGCGAAAATCAATATTGTGATTGTACTACAGCGTTATTGGGCATCGCGCGTGTAGTGACCGCCGTACCTGCGGATCAGGGTCATACCGCGCCGTGTTTTTCCGGAGGGTAGTTTGACGCGGTGGAAAAGTATTAATTATTAAGTTTCTAAAACGCTAATTGATCACGTATCTGGGTCGGAAATGTGTAAATTGTAGAGACAAGGTTAACCGGTTCGAGGGCGTCCGAGTAACGAGTGCATACATGAGAACGCGCTCGGATTGCCGCTCGTATGCAAGTCGGCTGTCAAAACAAGCGCGCGTTATTAGCTACGGCCACGAAACGTATTTGGAACTTGATATATATATATGGTTTGGCTTTTTGTTGTTGTGAGGATAAAACTATTGTTTACGGGGCAAACTGGTAGCACGCGACACTGCGAGGATTTCAACAAGAGCCATAACAGAGTGAGGTCGACTGCAACACGCGCTCAAGCTCGAGATATGTCTCGTCCACTGAGATATTGTTCATGTAGGCGTGTGTGTGTGTGTGTGTGCAAATAATACTTGTAATAAAATATGGTAAACACTTTCGCTGTACAGATAATAATATAGCGCAACACACACTGCACAGTGTCCATTTAAACAGCATAAAGTTTTGAGTATTTGAAATATTACACCACTTTGCCATACCTCTACACATAAGCTCGTTTAAACGTATAAATCTACACATTGACAATATTCTACAATCGTTTAGGGTATTTTTTAGTAAATCTTTTTAGCATTCATACGTATAATGGCTCAAATATTACTACTGTCTGCTAAAATAGAAAAAAAAAATTGTTGAACTAACGTCTTTTCTAAAATTATTTCAACCGAAATTCCGCATAATAATGACGTTTTTTATTGGATCAATTAAGTTATGTAAAATACCGCGTTAATATAATTCTTATTTTGCGTGATCGGTTTAAGATATTTCGTACGGTACAATAAAGTTAAACTAACAAGCGATATCTACTCCTACACGTTTTATTCCATTGTTAATAATACAATTTATGAATTCTGATTGTATAATTTTCAATTGTTAATAATAGATAAATATACCTTTTGCTAGTCAGTGAACAAATTTGAAAGTTTATTATATGACATAACTGTTATATAGAATTCTCTATTTAGAGTATCTCCCCTTAAGTAATTTAAATAATCGTGTGATACTAAAGCCGAAAAACACATATATTTTAACTCATTAAATTATTTTGGTGATGATTTATGTTGTTCAAATATATTCTAATGTATTCTGTAGTGAAATTGTGTAACTCCATGACTGTCGTTTAGGCGTTCGATCGTTTTTTGACACTCAAAATATAAACCAAAATTATAAATTCTTTAATAATAAATGAAATTAACAATTCAAATTTGTAAATGAAAAATACTTTACACGTTTTAGCTTCTTAATAATTATGTTCAATTTATCAACGTGCAAATATTTCATATTTTGAATTGTGTAATATAAAATTTCAAATCAACATTAAAACAAACCTATCTACTGCAATTTGACGAGATAGTACTGTTACTTTTTTAAATAACGATTGGTGTAACCACATTACTTTTCTAATACACAACGCAAATAAGAACAAGACAAACTTAGAATTGGTCGTATAACAATTTAATATTTATTTTATAATAATAGTTCGATTTGAAATTGAAAATAAAAAATCGTATCAACTGTTGAATAGATTTAATGTTCACGCAATATTATACTATAACATAATACTTATCGTGTTTATTAACTCTATTTCGGTACCAAGGAAATTGAAAAAAAGTAATTTGAAATTAATACTAGTGAGTAATACTCGATTTTCAAATTGAAAACATTGTCCATCGATTTTTATTATTTGCCAATAACTGGTCGATAAACAAAAACATTGAATACTTTAGTTGTGAAATATCTGATTTTATATTTTTTCTTTATAATTGTATGCGTGTGTAATGATTTATTCATTGATATAGTCCATTTTCATTTCAATATTTCTCATTGAAATTTTTAAATATTTCTACAGCCAAATAAAAAATTAAAGCTGAAATCAGGAAATTCACAAACTAAATTTCATTGCTAACCTATACAGCAACCAATTCATTGATTTCTTTGAGTTTCAGTTCAAGAATATTAAAAGTGTTAACTAACTGCGGATAATCATTTCACAATGCATAACATTAATAATATTTATGGCAAAAGTAATCGTAAATTGAAACAATACAATGTGGTTTTTATCTATTATCGTTTATTATACGGATTATGGGAATAGTATTCAT